ATGGGAAAGAGAATGACGGAGACAAGGGTGTAGAGACCCTAAACTCACTGAGGAGTTTCGTCTTCGGGGAGTTGTACACTTTTCTAGGTTTTGGACAGCTCTTCCACATTCAAAAAATAAAAGGGCCAAAGCTTCTGAGAGAGGAAATTGCTCAGCTAGAAACCCTTCTCCAGTGGGTCACATTGCAGAAACAGTGTTTTGGCAAGCCGAACAAAGACGCCATTATTCCCAAGCATAGACAATGCCAAGAAGGTGCTGGGTGGTCCAGAATACAGGAGACAGATAATGTAATGGCTCCATTCATCAAAAAAAAAAAAAAAAAAAAAAGAGAGAGAGAGAGAGAGCGAGAAAAAGAGAGAGAGGCGAGTGTGCACTCCAGCTGCTTGCCAGCTGGAAATGAAGCTCTTCTCCCTTCAGAGGATAATTTACTTCTGCTGGGGAGACTGAAATATTCTTCACCTTCAAGGGACCGACCAAATTCCTACGGTGTCATGTAACTTTGTGTGGACCCAGCGAAGGGGTGCGGGGGGGGGGGGGAGAGGCAATTTAACCAAGGGACAAGAGATGGGACAGGACAGCCAAATGTCCCCTTGCTCAAGCCTGATCTGCTGTTCACCTTGTGAATAATGAGCGTCCTGCAATTCATTATATTTCTCTTTCTGTTTGGCCACACGGAAGCTGAGGGCCAAACTCTAGCTCCTTTTCAAGTGTCAGTCGTACAAGGAAGCATGGAATGAATTTCTGAGAATTTCTACAGCCTCCAGTGGTTCCCGCTACAAATTTCAGTGTAGTAAATGAGCCCCAGTGATTAACCTCTTCTTGCTTTGCAGACAACGAAAGCCTCATTTGGATACTTGGTGTGTGGTTGAAAACCTATGGGCACTTCCCTCAGGTGATGCATAAAAAGAAACCATGTAGCCCTTGACTCAGAAAGTTGGGTCAGTGAGTAAAGGTGGGTAAGGGTGGCTGCCACCAAGCCTGATGACCAACTGACTCCTACAAGGTGTGTTCTGACCTCCACAATGCACTATGCCCCCCCCAGCACCTCTCCCATACATACATATACAAATAAAGCATCAACTGTAACAATTGTTTTTAAAAGATATGGTAGCATATCTTTTCTGGACATCGAACAAGTGGGATTTTCCTTTTCACTCAATTAAATGCATATTTTTAAAATTGTAAACAATGACAACCACTTGGTAGATGAATTGTCTCATTAAACGTTCAAGATAATCCTTAATACGCTCCATTTTTATTTGGATATTTAAACGATATATTGAGACCGAACACTAGTAAATAGTTTATTATATTCCTATAGTTTGAAATCAAGGAAGGCTTTGAGCCCGAATCCATCTGAAGGCAGACACTCAATATTAAAATATGATATTAACATTTTCTTATTTTTTTTTAAATTTGAACTTTTTACTTTTAAAAAGAACTTCATACTTGGGTACTGTATTTGCATCATTTCTAACCCCCAATTCCCTTCACCAGTTCCTGGGTGGTGTCTACTTCCACCCCCTCTCAAATTCAAGAACTCTTCTTTTACACAAAGCTTACAAAATCCATTATATTTACATGTGTTTAGGGCTGTGCTCTTGGAACTGGACAACCCATCAGGGATCTTGTCCTAATGGAGAAAACGGATCCTCTGTCTCTCCTTGTTCCTGCTTCTTTACTTAATATTTGTTATTCGTGGGGCTGTGGGAAGCAGTTGACGTGAGTGTGTTGATTTGAAAGGAAACCCCCCACCTCCTCCTGAAAGCGTGATCTAACTCACATGGCGAAATCCACCCAAGGGCAGGAATTGGGTGTTGCAGTCCCCAGAGGAAAGCAGAAAACTACAACAGAACCCGGGGAAGCAGGGCGGTGGAAGTCGGGAAGGCATTCTGGCACAGCTTTCAGGCAGAGAGGAAATTGTGCATAAGGGAAGCACAGGGGTCAAGAGGCAAGATTCCAGTCTAGGGAAGAGATGGAGGTTGGGCATGGCCTGAAGGGTAATTGCTGAGCAAGGCTCCAGGCTAGAACCTTTGAAGGAATCTGCAGACATGGACAGACGTTTGGTTTACACAACTCTGTGTACATCATTTCTTCCCAGCAAGAGGCCTCCTTCTGCTCACACAATTTTCATGAGCTAAGAATCCATGACCCTCTGACAAGCAAATCATCACTACTTAGGAGAAAATGCTATCTTCAGCCAGGGATTTTCTGTTCAGGTTACCCTTTTCGTAGAGGGTTAGATCTCACGGTTGCATTGCTCTAATGTAGCCAGTTACATGCATATACACTCAGAAGCCATGAAGTCTATCTCTAGACCCTTTCTGTGTGACATCTCTATCCATCAGCCCAAAGGGATGGTGTTTTCCTAGAAGATACCTGGACTTCGTGCAGCTGTCTCAGAGGGCTTGTGACCCACTTCTGAAGTCACCCAAGCTTCTCTCATTTGCACCTGATCCATTTTACTCTCAAAATAACACTGCTGATGTTTATCTTGAATATCACCATAGAATCTTCTTCTAGCTACGGATGGAGATAGAGACAGAAACCCTCATCAGAGCAACGGACTGAGCTCCCAAGGTCCAGTTGAAGAGCAGAAGGAGGGAGAAGATGAGCAAGAAGTCTGGATCATGAGGGTTTGGTCCACCCACTGAGACAGTGTGCCTGTTTTAATGGGAGCTCAACAAATCCAGCTGGATTGGGACTGAATGAGCATGAGATCAAACTGAACTCTCTGAATGTGGCTGACAATGGGGGCTGACTGAGAAGCCATTGATAAAGGCACTGGGACTTGTTTCTACTGCGTGTACTGGCTTTTTGGGACCCTAGGATATTTGGATGCAAAGCTTTCTAGGCCTGGATATAGCTGGGAGGGCCTTGGACTTCCCACAGGGCAGTGTTCCCTGCCCTCTCTTAAGGAGGAGAGTGAAGGAGCAGGAGGGGAATGGGAGGAGGGGAGGAAGTGTAAATTTTTGAATGGGAAAAATAAAAAAAGAGGAAAAAAATAAAAATAACCAATGCTGGTAAAAAAAAAAAAACAGTTGATGTCTGATGAAGACTGAATCTTTCAAGGGATTAGCTCAGGGATGTGGGCAACAGAAGGGGTATCCCAGGCAAAGGACACTTAGAATGTTTCTCCAATGCAGTGCGGTCAGAGAGTAGACTGTAGGACAGGCCATGGAAGAGGAGGTGACAGAGCTCCAGGAGAAGGATGGAGGGAACCATGAACTTCCCTGCAAGGGCATTAAGATCCGTGGGGTGTGCTCTTCTTCTTCTTCCAGGGGGTCTTGGCCATGAGGTCTGCACACAGATCTCCTCCGGGGATTGCCTGAGATTGAAAAATGTAGACATTCCTGTCTGATGGTCCTCAGAAGCTTCCTTTTGTAGACCCTGAGAGCTGACGGCTGGGGGGATCTTTGACTATATCCCTCACGACTGATCTCACCCCTTTTCACAGATAATCGACTTGCAAACTGTCAACTGGAGGTTTTAAGGCTACAAGAATGCCTAATAGTTTGGAACTCTGTGAGGGCAATGACATTGATTGAATGTGGAAGACAAAATTCAGATGCACACACACATTCTGTCTCAGCAGATCTAGGCTTTGGTCGAGTGTGCTGGCCTTGACTGCAGTTCCTTTAATGTGTTCTGAGCATCACCTGGAATCTTCTCCACCTGAGAAGGAACCCCTGCAAAGAAAGAATGTGACCCAAGGAATGAGAAATTCAACACAAGAAAATTAAGTCATTTATTTTATTGGCATTCACTCGGCCAAAATAAGTTTCTCTGGTCAGTCACGTTAACCCTTTCGAAATGTCTGTGGGATGTCCATGTTCCCTGTGTCATAAGCTACACATGTACACTTGGAAAGAGCGGTTTTCCTGAGACATCTGTTTTCATTCATGCACACAGCGCATTATTTTATCATGATGTATTCTTTGCGGTATTATTTTAGAACTCTATTACCCACTGATCACTAGAAGATCTCTTCTCCTGTCATCTTTGGGATAATGAACACTCTCTCCACATGTGTAAATCTGTCAGGCCGAGTCTTCTCTTGGAGAGACAGTTACTCATTCATTCACAAATCAAAGAGATCACTCTTCGGTTTCCCAACTGGGACTGCTTTAGTCTAGAAGTGCCGAACAGATCATTAGCTTCATCTGTAAAACAGCTCAGTGAAGAGCCCATCTAGAGGAAACAACTGAATCTTTCTCGTTGGTTTTAAAGATATTTTTTAAATCGAGAAATGCTGAGATATATTCAATTCGGGGGAAAATAATTGATGAAATAGACCCTTATCCAATTCACTTTGCTAACCAAGAAGCCATGATTCATCAAGCAAGACACTGTTTTGTATTAGGATTATTCAGATCTCTATAATCAATGGAAGTTTCCCCGATCTTATCTCTCTGTGCTCAAGTGTGCAAGGCGTGAAAACAGGTGTGTTTGTCTTGGGTTCTGATGGAAACTACTGCAAGCCTCTCAGGGCTGTCTTATGAAGGCACAAACAGTTTTTATTGAATATATGCTCTGTTGGGCTCTGTGAAACACTGGGAAGAAATTCTTCCCTCTGTGGTCTGCACTTTAATAAGAAAATGCCCAAGAAAAGATGGGCCATCCCGAATCTCTGAGATTTTAGCATCTTCTTTGGAGATTCTTCCAACCACAATGTTTCTCCTGAAACAGGCAGTCACAGAAAAACCAGAGGCTGACAGGTGCCCCCAGGGAGCTCAGAAAGAGTCACCAAATGAAGAACTGAGCAAATCAACAAACTGAATCCTAGGTTTAGGATTAATTAAAATGAATTGAGTAGTCAGTGTCCCAGGAAAATAATTTCTGAATGACTGATTCACTCAGCTCAGATTGAAGTACATAGAACAGACAGCTAAATCTAAGATATACATATATATATAAATATATATAAATATATATATATATATAATTTTCCTCAAATGACACAGTGACATTTTTATATTTAACTACATTTATTCAACATGTATTGTAATATTAAAAATTTATTAGTGATTAATATGAATCATTTACAGTTTAAATACTATTGTCTAAATGTGAAATCAATATCATAAAACATTGTAACATTTAAAAAAACTATTCCCTTGTCTTTAGCATTTTTTAAATTTATTTATTAAAGATTTCTGCCTCCTCCCTGCCACCGCCTCCCATTTCCCTCCCCCTCTCGTGATCAAGTCCCCCTCCCTCATCAGCCCAAAGAGCAATCCAGGGTTCCCTGCCCTGTGGGAAGTCCAAGGACGACCCACCTCCATTCAGGTCCAGTAAGGTGAGCATCCAAACTGCCTAGGCTCCCACAAAGCCAGTACATGCAGTAGGATCAAAACCCCATTGCCATTGTTCTTGAGTTCTCAGTAGTCCTCATTGTCCGCTATGTTCAGTGAGACCTGTTTTAACCCAGGCTTTTTCAGACCCAGGTCAGCTGGCCTTGGTGAGTTCCCGATAGAGCATCTCCATTGTCCCAGTGTGGGTGCACCCCTCGCGGTCCTGCATTCCTTGCTCATGTTCGCTCTCCTTCTGCTCCTGATTTGGACCTTGAGATTTCAGTCCGGTGCTCCAATGTGGGTCTCTGTCTCTGTCTCTGTCTCCTTTCATTGCCTGATGAAGGTTAATATACAGGAGGATGCCTATATGTTTTTCTTTGGGTTTTCCTTCTTATTTAGCCTCTCTAGGATCACGAATTATAGGCTCAATGTCCTTTATTTATGGCTAGAAACCAAATATGAGTGAGTACATCCCATGTTCCTCTTTTTGGGTCTGGCTTACCTCACTCAGGATAGTGTTTTCTATTTCCATCCATTTGTTTGCAAACTTCAAGAAGTCCTTGTTTTTTACTGCTGTGTAGTACTCTAATATGTATATATTCCATACTTTCTTCATCCATTCTTCCATTGAAGGTCATCTAGCTTGTTTCCAGGTTCTGGCTATTACAAACAATGCTGCTATGAACATAGTAGAGCATATACTTTTGTTGTATGATAGGGCATCTCTTGGGTATATTCCCAAGAGTGGTATTGCTGGGTCCAGGGGTAGGTTGATCCCGAATTTCCTGAGAAACCTCCACACTGCTTTCCAGAGTGGTTGCACAAGTTTGCATTCCCACCAGCAATGGATGAGTGTACCCCTTTCTCCACAACCTCTCCAGCAAAGGCTATCATTGGTGTTTTTGATTTTAGCCATTCTGACAGGTGTAAGATGGTATCTTAAAATTGTCTGGATTTGCATTTCCCTGATCGGTCTTTAGCATTTTTTACATTTAAAACTTTTCTTGCTTTCCTTACATGGACAATGATGTCTTACACTGTGGAGGTCCTATGATCAGTTATATGTTTACCTAATACGTGTAAAATCTTATTTTTCCAAGGAAAAAATTGAAATCATGTATGTTTAGATTCAGAGAGAAATGTACTTTTGAATCTTCACTATATTGTGTCTAAAAGGAGAGATCTCATCATTGCTGAGCAGGCAAGGCTAAGGAGGATAGGTGTGGAATCAATCCCAAGTCATCTGTAATAGGCTAGTCATTCTCAGAATGGCCTCTAAGACCGTTCTCTAAGGCCCCATAAAGACTGCGTGGTTGCCTGTTTATGATCCAGTAATTAGGGCTTAATCCACTTTTAATTCTATGCCATTAGTATCCTTGTAATTGTTTCATTAACAGTATATCTCTTAGTGATGAATTTTTTTTTCTTTGACAACCTCATTCTGTTTCTGCTCTCTGTTACCTCCCTCCCATCCTGCCTGGTTATTTCCCTCTCTTCCTTACAGATTCCCTTTTCCACACTCAAGCCCTTTTGTTTTGTTTTGTTGCCCACTGATTTTAACCAGGGCCATCTGTGTGGCTAGGAGTGAGGCGCTCTCCAACTGAAGCTTGGAGGACGCAGCCTCTGCTGACTGTCTCTACCCCAGCACTGATCAGCTGCCAGGAGCTCAGGAAGGAGCTGTAGGGCCTCCGGAGTCACTCTTCCATGGGGTTGATGACCAGCCCAGTCTTTGTTGGTCCAGCCCTGTGAGATCACGTTTGCTGTGACTGTGTCATGATTGGAGGAGAATGTTTTCTGTCTCCTTTACCCATTTTCTAGCTCTTGCATTGCAGTATTTCCTGAGCCTTAGAAAGGGTGGCATAAAGGTCCTGCTTCAGGCTACGTATTCAACCATCATGTATCCCAATTACCTTGGGCACCCGGGCGTCTCTGCACTCACTGTTGTTCCCTTTGGAGAGATGTTTCGGATGAAGAATAAAAGTAGAACTTGTCTGTGGATGTAAACAATAGGATTTACCCTACAGTTTGGTGCCCTGTCAATTTAGCTAATAATAGTGAGGTCATGCCTAGGGTTGACGACCTCCCCACCCAAGGACATTTTAATAGGTTTAGAGTACCAGGGTTGTATTCACCAGGTAAGTGACTGAAGGACACCTACCAGACAGCAGCACACTGTGACTACTCTCAGCGGTCCGTCTTTTTTAAGCAGAACCATAGAAAGTTACTGCAGAAGGGATAGTGTATCCTTCATGACCTAGAGGCCTCTGGGGTCAACGAAAGGCTGTTACAGGAAAGGGAGGTTTAGTTTGCTTGAAAAGAGACATTTTGCAAACTTTGAGTCAAAAATGGTGGGGTGTTTGAAAGCAGTGAGCAACCTTGTGATTACTGTGGTTATGCAGGAGGAAGTTTAGGCAGGCTTCATGACGCTCTTTGTATTAAAATATTAGAAGCTCAAATGACCTGTCAGATTTTCTGATTTCTTCTGGAATTTTCTGAGGCCGTGATCTGGAATCTATCTTCTGCTCAACCTCCACTTCCAAACAAATGAAAAGTCCAGGGACTTCCTGGACCCTGACTGGAGCAGTCCTGGGGCAGGCAGGGAGGGATTACACACTGCATTTTTCAGACTCTCAGAGTCTCCGGACCTGTGAGGGTGTGGAGGGAGCAGATGGCACTTTAAGACCTCCTGAATTCTGGGCACAGGGACACAGGTAGTGGATGGCAGCGAAGCTTACTGAAGTGCTGGGCAGCCCTTCTCAGAAAGCTCCAGGAGCTCCATGCAAAGCTTATTCTCTAACTGTGCTGGGTTTTAGTTTGTGCTTCACGTTTTCTCTCCTAGACATGAGAATCAAAGGAAGAGAATCACCATGTGTGGCCTCTCGGTCCCTGAGACTAGATGGCCTCAGGCCTTTCTTTTGGAGCCTGTCCTAGAACTAGCTCTTGTAGACCAGGCTGGTCTCGAACTCACAGAGATCCGCCTGCCTCTGCCTCCCGAGTGCTGGGATTAAAGGCATGAGCATGGCAGATTTATAGGTAAACATTAGCCCCAGGCAACCCCCCCCAGAGGGCAGGACTTAACCCTACACTTTCTGGCATAGCTCCCCCCCCCCTTTCTTTGTGGATTTTCGAGACAGGATTTCTCCATAGCTTTTGGTTCCTGCCCTGGAACTAGTTCTTGTAGACCAGGCTGGCCTCAAACTCACAGAGATCTGCCAGCCTCTGCCTCCCGAATGCTGGGATTAAAGGCATGAGCCACCACCGCCCCCCTTTTAAATCTGACTTCTGTCACCTACCTGGTCATTCTGTAATTACCTTAATCCTGTTTTCAACAGCACTAGGATTATTTTTCCGGCTTCTATGTGTAGAAGGATCTCCTCTGGTGTTGGTTTCTTCGCTTTAATTTCAAGAAAGGAACAATATAAATTTTAGATGGTCGTCTCCCAGGTTGCAATTCCAAAGAACTGGATAAAGTGTATCCTGCTTAGCCAGAAGAACAAGCAGAGGGTTGTCGTAGCTGAACACAGAGCCCAGTGTAGGGATGAGGGCATGGATGAGGGCCGCAGGGGTGCCTCTGCTCCAACTTCACACTGGCAAGGCCTTAAGGAGACTGAACTGCTGCCGCTTCTCAGCTTCTCACCTGATGCTTCACACCCAAAACAAGAGACTTCAGATGACCTCCAAAGCCTACTGGGGCTCCTAGTGACTCTAAAAGGTCGACAGAGGCCCAGTAAAGTCGTTCCTTTTCCCAAGAGCACGAACGTTTACTTCCAGCCGTGTTTTCCGGTAAGGGGAGACTTGCAATGACGGACAAGGCAGCAGAACCCTCTAAGAAGTGAGTGACACCTCCAGTATTTGCATGGTGTCTACTCTGTTTCTCAAGTCGCCGACACAGCATATTTATTGTTTGTGGAGGATTCCTGGCTCCGACACTGGCCCGCGAGCACTTGAGTGGCTTCGTGACTATAACGTAATAGCAAGTGCCACTGTTATCGCGATGACGCGGTCCCAGGCAGCAAAAGCCTGTTCCGTGGATAGCAGTCAACCCTGCCCTCAAGCATATAAATTTATTTCATTTTATATTCGAGCCAGAAAACGACTCCCTTTGAACAGGTCTCTATTGTTCACCTTCCATTCCAGTTTCAGAAGACAAGTGTAAACGGGGCTGTGCCGATTCCTGGATGATGTTTCCAATATGCTAGCTCAGCTCCCACGGCTCCGCAGCAGCGGAAATGAAGTCAGTTCTAGAGAGAAGGGGCTAAGCGGCTTCCTGTGGGAGACAATATCTGGAAGTATTGGGGGAAAAGTCAAGGCAGAGTGCGTTTCGCAATCCTAGCCCCACCCATGCTTCACGATTGCACCTTGGGAAAGTGACTTCATTCTGCAAAGAGAAGATCTTTGGTGACACCAGGGGAGTGCAAGTTCTCCTTCTGAGGGCTGTGAAACCATGTGTAAGGTCATGATGACTGGACAAAGCATATTATAATACAATAGAATTAGTATCTCTAAATAGCCTGTCTGTAAACTTGATATTCCTTATACTTCAGATGAGTGGGGAAATGGGACGGAGCTGTGAGATTGACGGAATGGGGATAATCCTGCCCTGCCGAGACTTCTCACTGCGGTCCTGGGTAGATTGTAGGAAAGCACGCTTTCTAGTCCAGGCTGCCCTGGGTTCAGCAGCCATTGCATTTCATGGAGTTCAACCTCTTCCGGTGTTTACACCGGAAGAGAGTTGAAGTGGAGACTGCCAGGGCTGTTTGCTGCTCTGGTCTCCTCTGGTTTGTGTGTGCTCCCTAGGTGGGCTCAGAGTGAAGGACTGTGTGGTGTACCGGACAAAGCCAGTGGGATGCTGGGATAAACCAGGGATCCTTTTGCCATGGTCAGCGGCTGGCTAACAAGCAGCCAGTCCTACAATGCAATGGGAGTGGGAAGACCAACTCAAATATCTGATAGCTCACATAGCTCGCAACCATCTGGGGCTCCAGCTACAGGGGATCTGATCTCTCTCTCTTTCCTCTCTCTTTCTTCTTCTCTCTCTCTCTCTCTCTCTCTCTCTCTCTCTCTCTCTCTCTCTCTGTCTCTCTCTCTCTCTCTCTCTCTCCTTAAGTTTCTTTTCCGGCTGGGGAAACAAGCCTCATGCCTCTAACCTTGCCTGAAGATACAAAAGTTTCATTGATTTCTCATTTATTTACATTCTACTTAAAAAAAAAAAACACCTAAAAAGTATAAAATAGAAATGTATGAGTTCTATTTTTAAAAGACCAGACATTTGGATCTCACTAAATCTCCCTTCATCTAATACCACGAAGGAAGTGGGGCTACATACCATCTATGTGCTCTGTGTGTTCAGGAAAAAGGCTGCATGCCTCATTCTCTTCCTCCTTTGCTAAAAACAAAAGACAAAAATGGCAATGGAATGCAAGGGCCTGGCTTCTCTGTAGCTCTCCCTACCATCCTGCCCTCTGCTTCTGCTCCTGGGTGGGATGTGGGTCTTGGGTGATGAAAAGCCTTACAAGGGTTTCTCTATCTTAACGGTGACAGAGTCTCATCAGTGGAAAGGGAGGTATAAAGATGATGTATTATTAAATTAGGTCACATGCAGCATTTTCATTCACTGCCTGAAGGGAAGCTTCCCTTATTTCAAGTACAGGGGACACTGGAATGATGGGAAGGCATTTATAATGTTGTGACATCCTTGGGAAAGTGCCCCTGAAGTGAATCAGTCTTTCTTCCTGAGCTGAAGATATTAAAAAAAGGCTATAATAAGTGGACAGTGTGCCTCCTGAGTCTTTGTCCCAGCAAGTGTGCCTTTGAGATGGCCTTTGCATATTAACAAGCAAGATAAAGACATAACCGTCATCTACCATCTACAGCTTTTCCAGGGAGGAATACAGCATTTTTTTTAGACTTTTGTATCACCTTCCATCCCCATAAACCTTGTAGGTCAACAAGGAAGATATGACCTACACATAGTCATTTTTTAGAGGGCACCTTGGGAATATCAGAGGGTTTGGTCCAGGCTTAGTGAACCCAATATAAATGTCCAGAAGACACACCGCAAGAAGTCTGGCTGGAAAGCATTCATAAGTGTAAACCTCTGTTCTAATTGGTCTATATTTGTCCTGAAAAATGCAAAGAAATGTTCACATCAACTTCATTTTTGGTCCCCAGTCATTTTCTTTGATATCTTTCTTGAGTGACCCCACCAAAGCCCACAGTGTTGATAAGTACCAGAACTGAACTCTGTAAGAGGCCGACTGTAACTTTGAAGACAGGCTAACTTAGGGGGAAATTTCCTCTTTGGTTGTCTATTGAATTTTCTCAGCCATATTACATTTTACGTTACCCCCTTTAACAGTCTGTTGTAAAAGTAATTGGGACAATGTAACTATATCACCTGTTTCAGTGACAATGGAGATGTAGGGTAAAGTGAAAAGACTATTCAGATGCAGTCTGTAAAACCATCAGCCCTTTTTCTGGGGTGATTGGAATAAAACATAGATTCTTCTCAGATAGAACCACAGTGGCGGACCAAAGAAATGATTCCACCCAGCTCTATGGAACTGGTAGGCTTACTAGATTTTGCTCAGAGGAGTGTGGGCAATTTGCAATATCAAAAACCCACTGGGCAGAGATGATGTATGAAAGCTTCTCCAACACAATTCCCTGCCCAGCCTGTATACAGCTCCACCAAGGAGTTTCCCCTCCATGGACACTGGTTCCCACCATTGTAAGCCCAGGCAGGGTCCTAGTGAGCCTTACAATATTCTTTCTTTAAGAGATTTGTCTGCATTATTATTTTTTAATTTATTTATTTCTTTATTAATTAATTAAAGATTTCTGTCTCTTCCCCACCGCCACCTCCCCTTTCCCTCCCCCTCCCCCAATCAAGTCCCCCTCCCTCGTCAGCCCAAAGAGCAATCCAAACTGCCTAGGCTCCCACAAAACCAATAGGTGCAGTAGGATCAAAAACCCATTGCCATTGTTCTTGGGGTCTCAGTAGTCCTCACTGTCCACTATGTTCAGCGAGACCGGTTTTAACCCAGGCTTTTTCAGACCCAGGCCAGCTGGCCTTGATGAGTTCCCAATAGGACATCCCCATTGTCTCAGTGTGTGGGTGCCCCCCTCGCTACTCAGCAGTAAAAAACAAGGACTTCTTGAAGTTTGCAGGCAAATGGATGGAAATAGAAAACACTACCCTGAATGAGGTAAGCCAGACCCAAAAAGAGGAACATGGGATGTACTCACTCATATTTGGTTTCTAGCCATAAATAAAGGACATTGAGCCTATAATTCATGTTCCTAGAGAAGCTAAATAAAAAAGGTGAACCCAAAGAAAAACATATAGGCATCCTCCTGAATATTAACCTACATCAGGCGATGAAAGGAGACAGAGACAGAGACCCACATTGGAGCACCGGACTGTCTGCATAATTTTTAAGTCTCTCTCTCCGTGTGTGTGTGTGTGTGTGTGTGTGTGTGTGTGTGAGAAAGAGAGAGAGAGAAGGAGAGGGGAGAGGAGAGAGAGAAGGGGGTGGGGGAGATAAGGTCCCCTGTAGGTGGAGTCACAGATGGTTGTGACTATCAGATGCGTGTTTCTGGGAACTGAACTCAGGTTCTCTGTAAGAGCAGCGCGCTGAGCCATCATCTTTCCAGCCTACTGTCGTAACTTTCCTCAGCCTCCCTCTGTTTTTTTCTCCCAAGGGATGCTTCAGTCCAGCTGAAATGGCTTCATAACAGCCATCAATGCAATTGGGGTTGTTTCTACTGGGTCTAACACTCCAATTCTTCCTGTCAGTTCCCTGATACCACAGCTGGACCTACACTCACAACTCTCACGTCTTCTCAGTTCTGTGACCCGAAGGACATTTAGTTGTTTTAGGGGGATATGTTTTCCCTGCCATGGTGGTCACCAGGCCTATCTGAAAGGCCTCTCTCTGGCTGAACACTTCACACTCTGCATGGGAACTCTTCCTTTTCTCAATGTGTAAATGCTGCCCTGGGAGTCGGGGACTCTTGGCCTACATCTTCCTTAGGCTTAGAGCAGAGTGGGGAAGGCAAGGTCTATATCTTCCCTTCTCTTCACTGAATTCTTTAGAAGACTATATTTATCCTGGCCATGGCCACTTCCTCTACGGCTTTGTAGCTGCACTTGTCTTCCTGTCCTTTCTGTACCCAGTGCCGCTGGAGGGTGGAGTTCCAGAAGTAACCATCTCCCCCTTCCCTGACACTTCCCTGCTGGCCAGATTCCCACCATGACAAGGGTTCTCTCAGCACTGTGTTAATAATTCAATCACGTATCACTCATGGGAACACCCGGGGCTTTTACCTAAAGATTATTACAAGCATTATAATTTATGTGTTAAGGACATCAAAGGATGGGAAGAAAAGAGGGAGGGGGATAGAAAGAAGGGAAATGAGAGGATGGATAAAGGGAAACACTAGAAGAGAGAGGACAAGATAAAAGACAAAATATACTCATGTAAGCACCTGCTTTGTGGACTGGGGAGATGGCTCAGGGATTCAGAGCACCAGCTGTTCTTCCAGAGGTCCCGGGTTCAATTCCCAGCACCCACATGGTGCCTCACAACTGCCTGTAACTCCAGTTCCAAAGAATTTGGCAACAATCATGCAGGTAAAACAAAATAAAAAACAAAAACCTGCTTTGTGGTCATGCCTGGTGTAGCCATTCCTCTGCTCTGTTCTCTTGTGCCCTGAAAGAAATCTCTGTGTTTATGTTTTGCTGTTGAGACAGTGACATAGAATTCATAACTCCTCAGTCAGACATACAGAAAATGCTATTTCCATCTGAGTACCTCAATGTATAATAGTCAAGGTACATATAAAACAATAATGATAAAAAAAAAAAATCCACTCTCAACCAAGTCCCAAGCCAGGCACATCCTGAGCGACTGAGTCCTCACATGACTCAAGCAGGTAGAATCTCGCTGTGCACAAAGCCTCCCGAAGCTTCCTAACTGCTGTCTTTGGTTGTTATTTATGGATCTATCTGGTTGCAGGCCTTAGTAAAATGCTCACCAAGGGGGCTTCCCAAACTTCCAACTCCATTCTTAGAGAGCTTGTCAGATTCTGTTTGCTCTGCTGCCTTACTGTCAAAGACTTCCTACCTCTGAGAGGGGCACAGCCTGCTTGCGCCCTACTGAAGAAACTGCTTGTTCATCTCCAGTCTGCATCAAAGCAATCAGGGACTACATTTTTAAAGGACAGCAGAAATCCCCCCAAACATACATCTT